TCTTTTTCCCTTCCATCCTCTAATCCTTCCTGAAAGAGTATTTTTCTTCCTAGCGGTGTTTGGGTTCATTTTAAGTCACCGTGTTAAGTAAAATCCTAGTTACCTGTTGCTTTGGAGACCCTCCTCCACCCTGCCTGTGGCACCCGTTTGTGGAAAACGTGCAGCTGACATCAGTGCTGCCTCCTCCATCATCTGGCAGGAAAAAACTGAAGCACAAATGCTCTTGCTTTCATTTCCAAACACTTGACCAGTCACGTAGCCTGTTTGGAACCATACTACAGTGACACACTTCCCTCTATAATTATATTTTTTAAACATGGTGTGCTGTGTTTCATCTGTGCTCATGCTTATTTTATCTTATTTTATGCACAGAAAGGGATGCTTTCCCCAGTCACCAACAGCTTTTGCATACAAAGTTGCATATTTCCTTAACATGCGAGGACCTTTATTTATTTTTTACCTTTTTTTTCTAAGCACAGAACTGTATGCATGGTCATGTAGCTAGTTGGTTTATTGTACAGTGGTACTGCAGCTGTTTAACCTGTCTTCAGTGTACTGTGCCTCACATCCACATCTGTTATCTGCAATACCGTTTTTGTACGGGAGCTTTAGCCTACAGCTGCAGATTGAGCCTTTATAGATGTCCTGGTCACTGTTCATGCCCTTCTTATACTAAATATGTTTCCTGTGCATGGTGACCGTAAAAAAGTTTTCCATAATTTCTATTATGCCACGCTTAGAGAAAGCCAAAAAATCACACAAGCCACTGAGTACCTGATCTGAGCAATTGGTAGTTGGGCAGCAGGGGTCTGAGTCACAGCCATACCCTCCTTCAGCTCCTTGTGAGCCCCTGCAATCAGAGTGAGTCTGGTTTTCTTCTGACTGTAGTCTTGCATCTTTCTGTAATTCAAAAATTGCCTATTAAATCATGCAATAATATAGCTGTGTTTATATGTGTATATTTATTCATAAATATATAAGCTTATTTTGGCTGTTCCCTTTGCAGACAGTTGCCTCGAAACTACTGTACAGCCATCTTACCACAAATTTTTCTGATTAATTCCTTTTTATTTGACTTAGACTTACCTTTGTGTAATCCTCACCTGTTCAGTTTTTTAATTCACAGCTTAGGCAATAAGCAGTGATACTATAACTTGCAATAATTAAGAGCCCTTGAATTTTTAGCAAGGCACTGCATAGCTCGGGCAGGGAGTTAGCAAGTAGGCATGTGTGTATATGTCTGAGAGCCACTGTCTCTATTTTCCGTCTATACAAAGAAAGAAAAAAATTATCTAGCATTCACTTTTTTGCTGCTTCTGAATTCTCTTATTCTAAATGGTCTTTTTTTTCCTGTTTTATTTAGACTGAATATGCAAGGTTTGAGAATGGCCGATTCGTGTACAGGATAAATCGCTCTCCAATGTGTGAATACATGATCAACTTCATACACAAGCTGAAGCATTTACCAGAGAAATACATGATGAACAGCGTGTTGGAAAATTTTACAATTTTATTGGTATGGACTCACTTTTTATTTTTCCATTTCTAAAATACTCTCAGGCTTTCTGTCACTTGCTTAACTTGCAATATTTAGAACCAGTTTTCGAATCCCTCAGTCATGTTGCTTACTAAGGAAATAATCCCATTGACTATAAAGTAATACTCTTGGAATTGTGCACTACAGATGCTAAGGATGAAAACGCTATGCTGGCTGAGAACCTGAACAAACATCTTTGTTGCTCTCCAAAGATTCAGCTTGCTGCTCTCTTTTTTTCCCATGCAAGTCTGGTGTTTGTAGCAAGCCTGAGGCAGTAACTTTGAACCAGCCCATTCATCTGATGTGTTCTTTCTGAGATGCCAGTTATAATACTGCAAATGTCAGCAGTGTTAATGAGTTCTTGGGCCAGGAAAGCATGCAGTAATGGGTACACCCAACAGGTGATCTAAAGCATGGAGTATGGTCCACACAGTAGCCTTTAAGCCAGTTTCATCCAGTTGCCCAGCTTGCTTTCGCTGTGGCTTTGTGGTGGCACCTCAGCCGAGCACTTAGAGCCATGCGCTGCTGCTGCTACCATTGGATTTGGGCAGGACCAGGGGCTGGTGGCACAGGAAGGGGTAGGGCCAGGAGCACAGAGCCATGGGCACTGTGTTCAGCTGCCTTTGGCAAGTGAACACAAGGTGTCACAGATGCACTGGTTTCCCTTTGCTGAAGCGGGATTCAGGTTGAGGAAGGCTAAGCCAAGACGGCATGATGGCAGCTCATGGTCAAGCAGGGTGAGATGAATCTTGGTGCCCTTCACTGGGAGCTTCAGCCCCACAGCTCAGCCCCAGGGTGAGGTGTGTGAGCTCAGTCACAGAGGTCAGTTTAAACTGACAAAGAGCGAGCGAGAGGCCACACATTTCTAACAGCCACACCTAAAGACTGTCTAAATCAAGCTGGTCATTTCTTGTTTTGGCCCTGGCGTGTCCGAGTTTGTAACATACTGTCTACCTCTTCCTTCCCCTCCAACAGGTTGTAACAAACAGGGATACACAAGAAACCCTGCTCTGCATGGCTTGTGTATTTGAAGTGTCGAACAGCGAACATGGAGCACAGCATCATATCTACAGGCTTGTAAAGGACTGATCAGTTATTTATATATACACTTCATTTCACATCTTTATCAAAACACAGACTGTAAACCTCAACACTAAGTGGCAGTGCCTCTGGCCCAACTTTCACCCACATTTTTCTAAATCCTGTTTTAGTGAAGTCATTTTTAATGTGTTCATATATAATTGTAGCTGTGAAATTCTGGTACAGTTGTAAAAATTATTTCTAAAACTAAGTGTTCTTCAAATTTGTAAACCACGGTTCTTTGGGAAGACTGTATTTAAGAACCTAACGCCTCTGTCTGTGGAGGCCTATTTTTAATTCAGATAGAAAAATGTATGACAGAGCATTTGCCATGGGGAAAAACTGACAGCATTTATAAGAATTTATTTTGGGTTTTTTTCCAACATGAAACACTTGTTTTATGATGCAAGTGAAATTAATCTTTAGCTATAACTGTAAATGAGTACACAAAGTTAATAATCTTTATAAAATTATCTTTGTAACTAATTACGGTGGAAGATATGGAGGAATGTAATTCACTAAATTATTTTTTAAAATGAAACATTTTTTCTGTTTGAAGCCAAATGAAAAATATAGCCTTAAGAAATGCCTGATAGAAACAGACACGTCCTAAAATTAGGCAAATTTTGTATTTTTTTCTCAATGCTAAAACTAATTTCTAATCCATTAAGCAGGTATTGCAGAGAAAGAAAACATCATCCCTTATCCCTAACATATCTAGTGTATTTTAAAAGAGTATAAAGCTGTATTGTACTAATATGAAAATTTGATTATTTAATGAAAAAGATGGCTCATTTTGCAATAAGTAGGTAAATACTGAAGATTTAGACTTGCATTATATGTAGTCTTGTGTGTGCAGTTATATTTTATATGGACAACTATGTTTTCTAATAAGTTGAGTGAAAAACTTGCAACTCTGAAATTAACAGATGAACAGAAACAACTGACATTGCGACAGCATTGAGTAATTCGTAAACTGAAAGCAAAACACTAATGTGTTTGAAAGAAGAACACGTACACCTCTGAAAGGATCAACAGCTTTAATATCTGTGAGACGCTAGAAAATCACTACCAACATCAGACAAAGAAGATTGGAAAGTGGAGATTTATTTTCTCCTTTTCCTCTTTATCATGGTGCTCTTACACCTCTCCCAGTCGTGTCTCCAGTTCTGACTGGCAAAGACCTTATCTGAAACAAATGCATACTTACCACGTGGGGTCTGATGTCCTTGTGCATCCAGATGTGGTAGCATTCATCCTTCTGATATATTCAGGGAAGACTTCAGGAAGTGAAGTTCAGCTGGAGATATTTTAATACTGTAAGGATTCAAACCATGGATGTGGGTGTGGGGGATTGTCTGAGGTACGCACATGTGAGAGGAGTCTCATTCCTCCTGGCTACACCAGAGAGCGTTGCTCTGTTTCTTTTCTTCTGCTGCCCAGCCGGCACTGCCCTGCAGTTGCCCAGGCAGCAGTTGTTTCAGCAGGTGCCAAGCCAGCAGCGGGTTCTCACACAACACGTTTGTCTGAAAGGCTGAGGGCTGCCCAGCCAAGCACAAGCCACCTTAAAGACCAGTCATGAGGTATCGGCAAAGAGCGTTCTTGGGAAGGTCTTCTGCAGTCGTGAATCAAAGAAGTTAACATTTAGCAGGTCCCTTCTCCCTGCCCTTTACCGATACGTGCTCATGCACAATTTAAGTCTAGAATGTACTCCCAGGCACAGTGCTGTAGTCTTCAAAAAAAGCCAGTCTTAATTTTGGATATTCTATTTCTGCATAGTACCCTCTGTTAGAATTGTCCATGGCTGAATTATCTAGACTAGAACATAGCCTAGACGAGGTAGGGGGTTGTGGTACGTCTGCGTCAGACCAGGTTCATCCTTGACACTGGTGAGGACTCAGAGGATGAAACAAACATCACCAAAAGGAAGACCGCCTAAATTCCTTAGCCTGCCTCTGAGCTAACTCTAGTGGGTGGATGAGTGCTGTGATGTCTAGCTGTTACCTGCTTGTGGATATTAGGGCTGATGATCTTTCGGTTTATATTCTGTGAACTGAACAGAGAAATATGTCCATGGTAAGGTCTCTTTTAACATTCATTTTTTTAACACTAACAATCACATCAGGAAAAGCACTGCATTGTAACAGCCTAATGGTAGCCCTTTATTCTAAGCACTTGGTGTTACAAGTCAAAAACTACGTTTTTGTTTTATTTTGTTCTAAAGTTGTCTTTTATTTAGGGTTTGAATTGTGGTTTTGGTGGTTTTATTTTTTTAATAACAAGCAAACTCTTTGAGGCATATAAAGTATGTAAGTAAATTTGCAAAACCAGGTACAGTTCTTTTTTTTAACAGAATCTGGCACACTACATATGCCATAACTATAGGGTATAAAAAGTCACAACGTTTATTGGTGTTCACATATGTAATATTTGGGAAACTACTTCCATTGTCTTTTCTTTACACTTCTGTAAATGATCCATACCCTGTATATGTTAATTCTTAAAAGCCTTAATCCTTCAACTGTTCAGTGTGGGGTGTGTAGTCCAACAGGCTGCCTGTAAACTGTGAGCTCTTTTGTAAGCTGGAAGTACTTATCTTGTTACTGTTACTTTTTTGTAGGAACCTTTTAATTGAGAGCTGCCAAAGCATTACAATATGCAGTGCCTTAGCATTATATTAGAAGTACCTTTAGCCTCTTAACTTAAATTTTATATATTGTTTTATTAATTGGTTCCATTTTTCAAAAGTATCTGTATTTTTTCCCACAGAAACACTCTTTGACTGCTTGGTCTAAACCAGCCTTCTGTACGAGTCAGTCCCATTACTACGCAGTTAAATGTCTATACCAAAAGGAAAGGTTACAGATTCTTAGTTCTCCGTGAACAGTGAATTGTATTAATAAATGCTGCCTTTTTAAATTTCATGACCAAATAATTAATTGTGACTCTTCTGCACTCTAGCATGAAAGTGCCTTTGGTTTGAAATTCCAGCTTAGAAAAGTGCTGCCATAATAATGACAATTTGTAGAGAGACCAAAAATATTTAGTTATCACCGTAATGCCTTTGGTTTATTGGAATAAGTTGAATCTACAGGCCTCCATTCACAAAAAAGCACCATTTATAGCAAAGTAATTTTGCTTATGATCAACCTGCTGAAGAGTAGTCTACTGTTTGCTGTTTCTGACAGCACTGCAAACCAGCAACTGATTTGTCTGTGTTATAAAAGTGAAAATGATTCACATTTGTATTCTCTTCATCCCGTTGTGCATCTGCTTGATGAGAGATCCATATTCTGCAGAGTTTCAGACAGTGGACAAAGTGACTTTATTGTTCTCCTCTAATAATATTTTGGTGTCTGTGAAGATTTTTTGTTTAGACAAGAGTCTGTTTACAATGTTGTGCATGCTGAAAGTCAGATGCATAAAACAAGAGGAAAACGGAGAACAGACAACAGTTAGGGTAAATGGAATTGTGTGTTTTTAAGCATTGAAATGTTGAGTGTGGGCATTGTGGATGAAGGTGCTGTTAGAGAAACTCTGGCCAGCACGATTCAAAACACAGGGTTGTTTTGTTTTGTTTTTCTCCCATATGATGTCTTGCGAAAAAAAACAACAAACCAACTCCTCTTAAAAACGTGTCTGTATTTGATACCTGCTGTGAACGGGGGCCATACTGTACACTACAACTAAAATTGATGGGAAGAGGAGTAAGATTTTAAGAAAACAATGTTAGAAAGAGCAAATATCAGCAAAACCAAAAGCTGTCAGAGGGACTATATAGTTGTGAATACAATTTTAACTTGATTTTTAAAGTATTTCATGAAAACTAAGATTAACTTTTTATATATAGAAATATTGTGACACTGTGTGGTAAATATTGTGATAATTCAAGTTCCCTGTTTCTAAAATATTATTTTTGTTATTCCTTCAAGGTCTAAATCTCACTTACCTCTGTAAGACAAGTAATCCTGTTGAACTCAATAAGACTGAGGTAGGGCAAAGACACTTTTGCCCCACAAGCAGAGCATATATTTTCAGTACTTACCAAACATTTCAGCTGTTCTAGTCAGTATTCGTGATAAACTACACTTCTGTCTCATTAAAATATTAAAATAAGCATAATGGTACCATTTGGGGCTGTTAAAAATTACTACTAACAAATGTAGTTTTACTTACTTGAATTCCAAAATTATTTTATTTAGGTACTGCACCACTATTTTGAAGGAATTGCAGATATAATGCCTGTTTCTTGCTTTCCCTTTCTACCACAGCTACAGCTCATTAAGTTTGGCAGTAGCTTCTTCCGTTAAAACCTCCACGGTATAGGCTATCTGAAATAATGAAGGGTGTACATTATGTTGAATGTAAGTAACTGGCCAGTTCGAGGCATATACAACATTTGACGTACCGATCCATAGCTATTTATTTTTCCACTGCAAGTCCTAGGGCATACTCACTTTCTGAAGCAGTTCCCTTTATAGTTTTCCCAGATCGCTCATTGACTCATACTGAGAAACCTTTTGTCTACCCTTGACTTGACCCATACTGATACGCATACCCGGTCACACAGCAGATGTATAATAGAGTCCAGTTTTGTACTTTTCTCAGGATGATCTCTTTGCCCTCTTATCTTTCATATTGAGAAGTTTAGCCCCCTAAAAAAGATTGAGGCTGGGTAAGTCAAAGTACAAGAAACACTTTGGACATCGTCTTTTAACTTTTCAGGTCATTCTTGCTGAGATCATGTAATTAGTTTTACTGTGTAAATTAAATCTGAAATGCACTCAGTTGACTAAGAGGAGATGGATCCCTGTTACCTCCTTACAGAATATGTGGGTTTGTTTTTGTTTTGTTTTGTTTTATGAGCCTCTGATTCAGGCTCATGACTGCAGACAAAAAATACAATATGTGCCTGAAAAAAAAAAAAGACAAAAGAATTTTATAACATTGAAAACCTGAATAGCCTTTAATTCTTCAGTACATTTTATGTAAAACAGGTTGGGTTTTAGTTTTGTTTTGGGGTTTTTTGCCATGTGCATTTGTTCACATTTGTAAATGACTTAATGGAATTCTCACTTTATGTTTATTTGTGTAATGTGTATAAAATGGGTTTGTGACTTAAGCATATTCATATATGGTCAGTGGTTACTTTAATATTGTACTGCTGCTGGTAACTTTTGATGTAGAACTTGCCTTTTGATGATAAAGTACCTCTAGGTTAGACAGGGAGGGAAGGCTCTTTGAAAAAAGTGAATGTTCTCCAATGTTTTCTTAACATATTTGCAGAAGCTTTCAAAAGGAGTTTCAGTCAAACCTCTTGGCAGTACAGTATTCTTGTATTTGTTATTGTCTGTGTGTAGGTACTGGTACCTTTTTTTGTTTAAAATGTTTTAAGTGTTGGCTTTAAAGTGAATTTATCTTTAGTATGATAGTAATATGAAAATTATAGGTTTTGTGTGCAGAGAATTTTTTTATAAAGTGCTTTGTAAAAAAACAAAAATGTATTCTAGCTTTCGCGGTACATATGTGTGATAACTTTAATATCCATGACAGTTAAGTGCAATTATTTCATCACTCTAAAAATGCTATTTTTGTGTCGGTTACTGCAGGTGTTTTCATGTCTTTGCAAAGTGACACATTTTGATGCCTTCTTGATAAAGTGGTAGAATT